CCTTTGCTGGCTGCGATCTCTCCATGAAACTCTACATAGTGCCTTTGCTGGCTGCGATCTCTCCATGAAACTCTACATAGTGCCTTTGCTGGCTGCGATCTCTCCATGAAACTCTACATAGTGCCTTTGCTGGCTGCGATCTCTCCATGAAACTCTACATAGTGCCTTTGCTGGCTGCGATCTCTCCATGAAACTCTACATAGTGCCTTTGCTGGCTGCGATCTCTCCATGAAACTCTACATAGTGCCTTTGCTGGCTGCGATCTCTCCATGAAACTCTACATAGTGCCTTTGCTGGCTGCGATCTCTCCATGAAACTCTACATAGTGCCTTTGCTGGCTGCGATCTCTCCATGAAACTCTACATAGTGCCTTTGCTGGCTGCGATCTCTCCATGAAACTCTACATAGTGCCTTTGCTGGCTGCGATCTCTCCATGAAACTCTACATAGTGCCTTTGCTGGCTGCGATCTCTCCATGAAACTCTACATAGTGCCTTTGCTGGCTGCGATCTCTCCATGAAACTCTACATAGTGCCTTTGCTGGCTGCGATCTCTCCATGAAACTCTACATAGTGCCTTTGCTGGCTGTGATCTCTCCATGAAACTCTACATAGTGCCTTTGCTGGCTGCTATCTCTCCATGAAACTCTGCATAGTGCCTTTGCTGGGTGCGATCTCTCCATGAAACTCTACATGTACGATCTATAAGTATCAGTAAAACAAAAATTTGAGTGGGAGGATGTTTTTACATTTTTTGGTCACTTTCTGTAACAGTCGGGAGGCGTTTTCAACATCGGTCAAATTAACATGTTGTCCTTTATCGATTGGGCCTCAAGCGAAATTAGGCAAAGAAACCAAATAATTATTATTTCGGCACACGCAATTTAAGCCAGGAAAAAATTGAAAATAACACGACAGTTGGGAAATGAGTCTGGTAATGAAAAATGCTTGGTAATGAGGTAATTAAGTTTTGTAACTGATACTTAAGAGCGTACAGTAGCAGGCACTCCAGTTTCAGGAATATTTACTCAAACGAGATGGGCCAAAAAATTCAATGTTTACTATGAATATTACAAATCTGGTCTTATAAAGGAGAAATTTTAAATTTTAATAGTAACTTTATAAACTATTTTTGGAGTAAGTGTTCGTTTGTAACGCTTTATGAGATTTACTCCGAAAACAAACCGGAGCAAAGCTGGGTAAATTGGTTAGTAATATCTAGAAGTAAGGATTCAAAACAAAATAAATCTAGTTGTTTTCTTTCGATTACTAATTTTTCTTTTTATTCTTCATATTTTGCACATAAATACATTTGCTATGAATGCCAATGGTTGAAGATCAAACCGCTAGAAATGTAGTTAACATATTTTCCACAAAAAGACGAGTAGGAATAACTTAATTTACTGAAACATGTGATTAGAACGCTCATTAAAAGAAATAGTGAACATAAAGAAAGTATTTCCATTTCGTTTGACAAAGATGATTTTCAAGCAAACAAAAAAGCAAGCAAATTTATAATCATCTTTTAAAATACATTTAGGATAGATCCAACTTCTTGATCGCGCGAAAGAAGGGAGGAAATTTTCAATTTAAAGGGAAATAACTTTTTATACCTAAATTATTTTATTAAATTCTTCTTCTTCTTCTTCTATATCTTAAGGGCCCACGATCAATTTATTGATCATTTTGGCTCCTATGCATGTAGATGGGATTTGCAATGTTTCTGTTCCTGGTGTTGATGAGGAAATTTCACAGATTTCCAGTGCCACTTTGTGAGGGAATCATGCACTGGGGGTTTGAAGGCTTGAGGCAATAGACACAAATGTGTCTAGTGTTGTCGCCTCAACCGTTCCTTTTGAA